CTCGCCTAGCTTCTACCTCACCTCTATCCGAGTATATATCCCCCCCCCCATACCATTCATGCTACAAACCATCTCACCTGAAGATGTTCCAGGCAGATGACCACCCAATAATGTTAACTAAGTCAGAGGTGATTAGAGCACGAACAAATTCTGAGGACAAGGTAATGTACCCTGTAATGTACCCAGCATATGCCATAATCCAGTCAAAATATTCAGTCACAGTACAGATTGTCAGACAAATCAAATACCTGAACAGTCAAATCAATAATGCTAGCAATGTGGTCTAGGAATTATTTACAGTGGAACCTCAATCTACGAATGCCCCAGAGAACAAATTTTTCAGTGTACAGACGTCAAATATGTTGTAAAATTTGACCTGGTGTACGACTAGTTTGTTGATACTTGTATGGGTCAGGCTCGTGGGTTCTGTCGGCCGCAGGGCGAGGCGTGCTCAGTTCACCAGCGTATCTCGCCTATTGACAACCACACTCGAATTCTTTGTGAAGAATTTCATTGTTTTTTTGGTTTTTAAGTTTTTGAATGGAAAAGTTCTCATTATGTATCACACTATGGGTCCCAAGAAAGTCAGTAGTAAAGTTAAACCTAAGAAAATAGTCATGAGGTTGACAATAGAGGAAAAAAAAGATCATTTGTAAACATGAACACGGCATGCATGTGGTTGATCTGGCTAGGAAAGTGTGCTCAGTATGGGAAGAACTGCAAAGCTTTGCTGAAAATGGTTCACCCATATAGAGCTGTAGCAAGCCAATGTGTTAACCATTTTAATGACAATGTGATGTCTCACTACAGACAAGTGTTAAAATGTAGGGAAAAACAAGTGTCTTTAGACAGATTCTTAGTAAGACAAACGAGCAACGAGCCACAACCAGGTCCTAGTGGTATGCTTGCAAAATGCAAACACCCCAGAAATGTCATCATTGCCTGATGTTATAATGGAAGGGGACTCCCCTTCCAAACACTAAAACCCTCCCCCTCTTCACCATCTTCCATATGCTAACAAGAGTCCTCAATAAAGGTAAGGTACAGCAAAAAAATATGAGTAGTTTTCTGCATAAAATATATTTTTAAGTTAATATTTTTGGGCGTGTGGAAAGGATTAATTCAATTTACATCATTTCTTATAAAAAAAAATTTCAGTGTATGAATTTTCGGTGAGAGGATCCATCTCTTGGAACGGATTAAATTCGTAGACCAAGGTTCCACTGTATATATAATTTTTTAAATTTATTTACCCTGTATATAAAACAATACCTTTACAAGACATGTGACTAAATATAAACACTATTAAATTTTTTTATTCTTCTGGCTTATCCCAGTAAGACAGTCATCTTGTGTTCCTACTCTTAACTAAAGCTTTGTTGTGCATTAGTATCCTTAAATGAGACTAGTTGAACTACAAAAAATATATAAATTTGCTAAAGCTTTAGGTACAATCATCATACACATTTGTTCACAAATGAATAATTTCCATTTCATATACAAAAATATATAAAAGAATAACAGTACCAGGAGGACCGATTTTTGTTAATTCCAATTATTCTACAGCATGTAATAATCTCTGTGATAATAAATATTTAAATACAATACACAAAAAATTCATTCTGATTTGTTATGTGCATGCAAGAACCAAGAAATTCAACTAAATTCTAAACTACTATTGTAACTTAATTTTTTCAAAGAATCTGAGTACTGTAAATAAACTTTTAAAAGATTTGACAAAGGGCATCTCAATCTTCTTGAATAACTTACAAATAAGTAAAGCATAGGAAAAGCTGATTTCTATATACTGTACTGTACCTATTCAAATAATTAGAAGCTATAAACTACAAAACTACGATATTTATCTGATATTTCAAAATTACTTTTCTACAACAGCCATGACCATAAATGCATCATTATTGGAATCAGACAAAATACTGTACTAACAAATATTACGCACAGTAACGGTAATAAGCAAGAACTACATATGACATACATACAAGAACAAGCACCTTACCAGCTCCTGGTGCCCACCCCCCCTCTGACCAGCTCACACACCAATGCATACAATCTGGGATCACAAGGTTGATACTCTGGGGCAGATTTAATGCTGTAAGTTTTGAGTGTTGATCCATGAAATCTAAATAATGCTCTGTCATTTTGTTAGAACTCTGTCCAAAGTAATCTAATGACCTTAATATTTACTAAACACAATCTTATACGAATGTAATCTTAGAGTGAAAGTAAACCTCTGAAACAAAGACTAAAGATAAGCTTTTCATTGTCATACTATACATAAAACAGTATAACAAAATGACTGTTAGAGGAAATGCTTCAACTTGGTTAGACATATAATGGCTATGAATAAGCACTTTATGCTTTAACATGTACAATGCTATATTAACTATCATTCATGCATTAGTGGTCAACATTTTGATTATCTAAAAAAACAAAAAATAAAAAACAAAAGGGAAAATAATATATATACATCACAAAAAACATGTGATTTGTTTATGCGTACGTATCCATTAAGAAAATGAAACAAAAATTCCAAATGTTTTCATGTTTCAACACATTATCGAAGATTGGTATTGGATTCCTTGGTGATATTTTGAAACACGAAAACATTCAGAATTTCGTCCCATTTTCCAAGTGGATACCTACGCATATTCATGTACATGTGCTTGAAAGCTCAAATGCCACTTCGCAAAGTTGAGAAATAAGATGTATATATGCACTATGCACACCCCCAAACCAACCCACCACACTCATCCTATAAGTACACTTGAATAATTACAGACCCCCCATCCCCCCCCCCCCCACACACACACACATTATGTATTTCATTCTACTGGATCATTAAAAATTTAAATTCAGGGCCAAAATATGAGACTGTCATTCTAGGAACCTGGCAAGGATGATCACGATAAGGAAGTGTTAGAAATACCCAACTAGCTCTTGAGCTGAGTATTTCAACCTTCCCTGAAGCAACATTTTATACGCATACATACACACCCGTCCACCCCTCCCCCACCACACACAAAATTGGATGATACCTCTGTATGTGAACGGGTGGGGGATGTAAAATGTCTGTGTGTAATTACCAAATTAATTACCTGAACTTAGTTACCGGACGAAAGTTACACCCATGGTGTCCCATCTTCCCAGCGCTCTTTGTCATATAATGCTTTGAAACTACTACTGTAATTGTTTTGGCCTCCACCACCTTCTCGCTTAACTTACTCCAACCATCTAACACACTATTTTCAAAAATGAGCTTTCTAATGTTTTTTTTGGGCAGCTTTGTTTCCTTTAAACTAAGGAAGCAAAGTTGCCAAAAACATTAGAAAGTTCACTTTTGCAAACAGTGGTAAACAGTTGGAACAATTTTAGTGGGGTGGTGGTGGAGGCCAAAACTGTTGGTAGTTTCAAAGCGTTGTATGACAGACTACTGGGAAGACGGAACACCACGAGCATAGCTCTCATCCTGTAACTACACTTAGAAATTACTCACAAATACTTTACTCCCCCTTACTTCTTCACACAAACACACTCAAGATACCATCCAACTTTTTGACACCTTGAACTGAAAGCCACTGAACACAGCAATGAATCCAAATACTGTATAGTGATGTATCTCCCGGCCCAACAATATATTAATCTTGTCAGAAAGTACATTACAATAATGTTTACTAAATAAATCAGAGTTCATTGCAACACAGGTACACGTACCATAATAAAAATATTGCAATACTGTACATGGGTAGTCCCCAAGGGTAAAGGTAATGCTTTATATAATATCTGGGAATGGCATTTAGGTATGTTGTTAAATAAGTTGGATTTTGTTGAAGCTGAGGCTTCAATGGAGAAGTTAAACAGAGACGCAGAGGTTCCAGGGCTATACGATGGAAGAACACTAGATTCTTCAATGCAAATTTTCTCAACAGCCAATTAAAAATCCTGTACTGAATGTAATGAAGCATCTCTTTCTGCTGGACCACTCAGCAGCTCCTTGATACTACAATCTGAAAGCCACTAAAAGTCCAGGATTATGATCCTCAAAGGCCTACCAGGGACCAGAATTAGATTTTGGTCCCGCTCATGAGGTAATGGGAACCATGGGAATCAGATCACTACAGTACTAAGAAAATTCCACCGAAAAGCAAATAAGCACTCCAAAACATGAAACTGTTTGGAAATGTTTTTAAATTGATGACATTAATGGAAACAATCATTAACCCAATATTTTTAATTGCACAGGTGGAAGAGGCAAGTATTTTTTACTCGATATATAATAAATTGAGTAAAATTAAAAATTGAGCTTTTAACTGGATTTCAACCTTAGGTAGGCATAGTGACAAGAAAATGGTGTTGCAGCCAAAATGTTAATCAAATAGTAAACATTAGGAACAGTTTACCAAATAAAACAAACCAGTGTACAGTAATACCAAGTATACAGTACATTTAAAAACAGAATCGATAAGTGCCTATATTAAAATCCATGTCATCTATTGTTTGTACCACAATAAGCTATAATCAAATAGCCTAGTTTGGATCTAATGGAATGTTGCTGTCTGAATTTGTTTGTAATATACTGTATCAAGTTTATTCATTTTAATTCAAATTCAGTTTTTGTATAGGATTAAAATTAAATAGTCACAAAATTCCTGTTGGAGAACAGATACTGGTCTTCACTATTAATCTATTAATGTATCTTGAGAGAGAATATCTAAATTGAGTACAGTATTGTAAAAGAGGTCATGTTATGCTCCCCTGAATAAGATATTTAATAAAGAAAATAAGGGTGAAATATATACATTTCATTTACATAAACTGGTCCCTATGTATAAACTGGTCCCTTAATAATTACACTTGAAGTGGATAAATTTGAAAATTGCACATAAAGAAAATTCTAAACGATTTAACACATTTCTGGATCTATTCAAATTGACAATTTGACTCTTGGTGGTGGCCTAACAGCATGGGGGGAGGATACGTACAGGAGCCGGATATGGGTGACCGCCACCCACCAGGTGCATCGACTGTTGGTCGGATAAGTGTGAGATCTGAAGTTATTAGACCAAAGAAAGGGTGATGCTGTGTTGGTTCACCACTTGCACCCGTTTCCTCTACTGTGAAATATGTATCAACTTCCTTCATAAGCATTCGCTGCAACTAAAAAAAAAAACATTTCAAACATTAGAAAATGTTCCTTCTAAATATATTTTTTATTACATCCAAATTTGTATTCAGAAACCAAGTATAATGTCTTACATTTATACCACTCCACAATAATAAATTTTATCGGTAAATGACAAAAGATGAGACCTATGAGAAACTTTCCCACTATTTTCATAAATACAGTAATTATAGCTCTCATAAAGCCCCAAGCTATAGTAGCATTACCAGTTACAACTAATATTTAACAAAAATTCTGTGTATTTCTCAAGTCAAACAGGTAATAAAGGAAATTAACTCAACCAAGTTGCTTCAAGTGAAAGGATCTTTAAAGATTTACATACCATAAATAAAAAAATGCCTACTCTAAGTAAATAAATGACTTATTTACAAATATTTATACTTATAATCATTTTCAGCTTGCTTACAGCCATTAACATGATTTACAATTACATTAACATCATAGAAAAATGTACTTAGTAAACTTATCTGGTATACAATGTACTGTACATAAAACAATGAGCTGACCAAGACCTGGAATGTCCTACACATACAAGTGACAAGCTGAGGAGAGCATTTCAATTCCCTTAATGCTCCATTTGTTTGTTTCCACTTGCAATGACAATAACTTTCATAAGGGGCTGGGTATAGGTGACTAAGAACAAATCCACAAGGGCCGTGACGAGGATTTGAACCTGCGTCCGGGAGCATCCCAGACACTGCCTTACCATGTTAGGTGACTTTACCTTGTCACTCTACCAACTGCTCATTGGTCCACCTGGCTATATATAAAAGTGATAAGCTTCCCATCTTACATTTAGCCTGACTAAAACCCCAGACACCACATGGTAAGTTGGAAGGAAACAGGAGCAACTAAGGAGCCTTCTCAGAAAGATTTTTCAATTTACAGTATTCCCTTATTTTTGAGTCATATTACTCAGCAAGAATAGCTACAGAAAAATCTGACTACAGTACAGTACATAGAAATAGAAACAGGGAAAACAGGCTGATCCAAATTAGAATATTCCTTCCAATTCCATGGGTCTCAACCTTCCTGATCAGTCTTTCATGGAGTATGGTGTCAAGGCCTTACTGAAGTCAAGATAGATAACATCACCATTATTATTATTGTCATCTGCCTTGAAAATGCTTGTGTAGAAGTAATTATCAAAGAAGGCACCAAGCCGGGAAGGCTATGTAACACCAATGCTTGTGTAGAAGGATAACAGGTTTGTGAGACAAAGATTGTCCTGGCACATTGCTAAGTTGAGAGTCCTTTCTAAGCCTAATGTATCAAGGGGTTTTCTTATTTAATTTAGTATTGTACCTTCAAGGAACTTTCCCACTATTAACATAAAACTAATGAGATGGTAGTTCACAGCAAGGGATCTGTCCCCCCCCTTATTCTTTACATGAACATAAGAAAAACTCCATAAGGCCTATTGGTCAGTGTAAGGCAGTACCTAATTATACCAAACCAAGCTCATATCTTCATATCTAACCTATGCTTCAAACAAGCTATCAATTCCACATCTAGCATATTACCAGATGGTGAAATATTTAACAACTTTTTTTTATGCTCGGTGATAGGTTCACAAACATGCAGATATTATAAACTTTTCAAGCAGAGTTAAGCGAGTGACTATGGGGGTATGTGTGTATCTGGATAAGAAAATGGGCTGGGGGACAGAACGCTAGTGTTAAAATGAAATACTCACTGTTGCATGCCATGACTGAGTGGAACGCCGAGCAGCAGTAGTTAGAGCCTCCCAGTTCTGTTCTAAGAAAGGGATGACATCCCTCTGAAGACTAAACATGGGGTTTCCTCGCCCATCTTTGCTGCCTGCAAACTGCAAGTTTGCTATAGCTGTTATACACATATCTCGAAGTTCTGTATGTAGGAGATAAAAGAAAACATGAGGAAAGTTGTACAATCAAAAACATAAGTTCATTACTCAGCATTGATAATTAAACAAATAAAAGTGACATTACTAACGTGCTTGAGATTTGCGAAAGGTCTCAACACCCGTTGTAGAGCAGGTCTTGCAAGTGAAGGAATAGTTGAGCATAAAGGGCACCAGCTTGCCAAGCTGATAGCTGATGCAGGATTCATGAAACCAGGAACCACATTGCCAGCACATCAATTCAACTGCATTTAAGTTTCGGAGCTTCCCACTGAAAAGTATAAATTTTAAATGGGGAACGAAATACAGTATACTAAAGAATACAAGGTACCTCTACCAAGCCCAATACCAAGATATAAATGCAGAAGTGAATTTTTTTGGTTCATGATTTTTTCAACATACATTTGGAAATCAATGAATGAAATTTACCAAAATTTGGCATGATGGTAGCACTTCAAGGAAGAAGATGTAAGCAATAAGTGGTTTGCTTTGGGCTACAGAGGCTATGGGAGGCCAAAGAAACACAAAATTCAAAGCCTGATATGAACCTGGGTTTTATAGGAATTCTCAAAATCAAGAGAATATAAAATCTGCAATAACCACAAGAATAACAGTAAAGCTGATGTGTAGCAGATTCTCACTCCCGACACTGCTGTAGTAACTCAAGATACTTTGACACAAGCTCAAACTCTCCAGCGTGTACTTCAGAGAATCAATACTGTAAAGCAATGGTCACTGATCTGGTGAATATAGTTGAATGTTGCATCAAGAGGGTTTATAAAAAGATCTTACCAGTATCCACATGAGGAGAGCCCGCCCTTTTCTCCCACATCTACAACTCCTGAGTCAGGATTTTCATTATCATCTGAGTCAGAGTCCATCCTGCCAAAATAAACACTATAAGAATAAGGACACAGACAAATTATACATTCGTTAATAAACATAAATGTCTTATATGTCTCAAGAAAGACAAAACTACAAGTCTCGTTTTAAACCCATTATCCCAGATATATTTAAAGCTCTAGTGAAGATACTGTACGTGTATTTTTATGATTGTATCCAGTGACTTGTTGGCCATGGAGTATCAAAGCCTACACATTAACCAATATAGTATTGTGTAATTACAGAGATTTGCTAACGAGTCATATTATATATTATCAGAAATACAGTGATATATTGGTTATTGTAAATCCATCATTGGGATTGTATCTTATATCTGGTTGATACCTGCTTGATGGGGTTCTGGGAGTTCTTCTACTCCCCAAGCCCGACCCGAGACCAGGCTTGACTTGTTTGAGTTTGGTCCACCAGGCTGTTGCTTGGAATGGCCCGCAGGGCCACATACCCACCACAGCCCGGTTGGTCCGGCACTCCTTGGAGAAAACTATCTAGTTTCCTCTTGAAGATGTTCACGGTTGTTCCGGAAATATTTCTTATGCTCACTGGGAGGGTGTTGAACAACCGTGGACCTCTGATGTTTATACAGTGTTCTCTGATTGTGCCTATGGTACCCTTGCTCTTCACTGGTTCTATTCTGCCTTTTCTTCCATATCGTTCACTCCTGTACATTGTTATTTTACTGTGTAGATTTGGGACCTGGCCCTCCAGTATTTTTCATGTGTATATTTTTTTATATCTCTCTCGTCGTCTTTCTAGTACATTTTGGAGGGCTTTGAGACGATCCCAATAATTTAGGTGCTTTATCACGTCTATGTATGCGGTATATGTTCTCTGTACTCCCTCTATTTCTGCAATCTCTCCTGCTCTGAAGGGGGAAGTAAGTACTGAGCAGTACTCAAGATGGGACAGCACAAGTGATTTGAAGAGTACAACCATTGTGATGGAATCCCTGGATTTGAAAGTCCTTGTAATCCATCCTATCATTTTCCTGGCTGACGCAATATTTGCTTGGTTATGCTCCCTAAACGTTAGGTCATCAGACATCATTATTCTCAAATTCTTTACATGTTGCTCTCATACTATGGGCAAATTTGATTGTGTTTTGTACCCTGTATTATATTTAAGGTTTTTATTTTTACAGTATCTGAGTACAGTACCTGGAATTTATCGCTGTTAAACATCATGTTATTTTCTGCTGCCCAGTCGAAAACTTTATTAACATCTGCTTGTAGTTTTTCAATGTCTTCAGCAGAGGTAATTTTCATGCTGATTTTTGTGTCATCTGCAAAGGATGATACGAAGTTGTGCTTGTATTTGAGTCTATATCTGATATGAGAATAAGGAAAAGCAGTGGTGCAAGGACTGTACCTTGAGGTACAGAGCTTTTAACTGCACTTGGACTCGATTTTATATGGTTGACTGTTACTCTGTGTTCTGTTCGACAGAAAACTGAGTATCCAGCATCCTACTGTACCAGTTATTCCCATTGACCTCATTTTTGTGTGTTATCACTCCATGGTCACATTTATCGAATGCCTTTGCGAAATCTGTGTATACCACATCTTTTTCTTCTAATGCCTCAGTGATTTTGCTATAATGGTCAAGTAGCTACGAGAGGTATGATCTTCCCGATCATGATCGGGAAGATGATCCCTTCCGTTCACGATTTTATGGGTGAGCAAAGATACAAAAGTTTTAAAAAGTTCCTTGAGAGACATTCGCAATCGATTGGAGATGCAACCTCTCAAAGAGCAATGTTGATTTTAGTAGATATGGTAATAATCGTTATTTTCTATACATCATCAGAAATACAGTAATATATGCTATATTTTAAATCCTTTACCATAAAAATAACTGAAGTAAAAATGAAGATATACATATTTTCGAGAAAATCGGTAGGAGCCATGAGGAGGATTTATTTATTTACTTATATATATGCAAGAAGGTACATTGGGTTCATGAGAGTACACAGTATTGATGTTTTTACATCCTTACAAAGCCACTAACACGCAAAGCATTTCAGGCAGGTCCTTAATCTAACAAATAACAGAAGAGTAAAGGGAACCTTTATTAAATCATAAATTTCTTTACTCTAATTTGAAATACTTTTAAATTAAATGTTTAAAAACAGTTTTTCTCTTCATTTCTACTGAAATATAAAATACCAATATGAATTACACAAGTTATCAGTATTGTGCGGCCTGTGTTCATCCCTTGGCCAGTCAACGTTGCTGAGGTGTCTGAATACTGGCGACCTAAGTATTCTTGCTTTAACCATGTCTTAGCTTTCACATATGATATACTGTATATGCCTTGAAATGCAGTCACAATTATATCTATACTGTATCTCTATCTTGCTTCTTATATATAGAACTTTCAGGTTAATAAGCATATATACATGTCCACTACAAACTTTATTGGTGGTGTGCAGGCTCAATGCTCCCAGAGCAAGCACACAGATAATTTGATAAAAATACATTTATCTTTGCTTTCACTTTAGTTAGTTTACAATAAACGATTTAAAATGAAGCTAATATTACCGTCTTTCTGATGACACACAGAGAATACGTTTCCATCTTTCTTCCGACATAAATAATGTTTATTTACCTTATCAAGATTTTTCAACAATTTCCTGTGGGCCCTCAACTGCTCCAACATGGTTGCACATTTTTTAAAATCCTATACATGGGTTAACCCAACTGACAGTCGGGTCAGATTCCAATATGGTTCAGAACATTATTATTATTAATTGCCCCAACAAGGGGGAATTGAATTACTGTATATACTCTGTGGGCAAGAGCCAGGACTCAATACTACATTATTCAATGCCCGGTTATGCATTATTTTACACCAAATGTCACGAGATACCGGGAGCTTTGTAATTATTTCATTGTCTTACGGATATTAGAAAATATTCCCATACTTTCATCAAAGCAAATGGGGGGGGGGGAAGGACCTTCGACAAGCCGCTGGGGGGGGGGGACCTTCGACAAGCCGCTGGGGGGGGGGGGGGAGGACCTTCGACAAGCCGCTAGCTTCCTGTCCTCGTCAAGACCACTAGTGATATTGACCCTAAGGTAAATAAAAATTTGCTGGCGCAAACTGGTAGACTACGTGCAGGCGATGAGTCACAATAACGTGGCTAAAGTATGTTGACCAGACCACACACTAGAAGGTGAAGGGACGACGACGTTTCAGTCCGTCCTGGACCATTCTTATGTCGATTCAAGTCAAGTCGACAATCGACTTGAGAATGGTGCAGGACGGACCGAAACGTCGTCGTCCCTTCACCTTCTAGTGTGTGGTCTGGTCAACATACTGGTAGACTACACTCGCATGACATTTATTTACCTGACTTACCTGAGGGCCACTAACTCGAATGGCCTCGACGAGGACAGGAAGCCAGTGGCTTGTCAAAGGTTCCCCCCCCCCCATTTGCCTCGATTAAATTAAATTTAGGATCATCCACCCTGTGAGTTGGGGACGTACAACTGTGGTTGGCCATGTAGCGTGCCAGCCGGCGGGCAGAACAGGCAACAGCACACTCCTGTGTACCAAAGATAAGTTAATAACAAATACAAATATAATCAGCACCCTACTCATCACCTCAGCTCCGGGGGTTCCTGAGTCCCTCGGCCTTACAACACCATCTGTGTAATACCACAACTATTTTACCTATGAAAAATAGTTCAGAGTGGAGTTATTAAGGTTATATTCGAGCCAAAAACTTCATACCTAAATTTAACCGAAGTTTGAAGCTTCTCGCGAATTCTCAAACGCAGTCCGCCATGTATTTACAAAGTACGTGAAGGTGATTGGTGGAAAGAGATCTGACGTCATCATTAAACTGACGGTTCCATTGGTCGGTGGTGCCAGGGGTCCAATGAGGCCCAACGCTGCCATTGGCTTAACGACGATGATGTCATGAGATTTTCTGCGCAACGTCATCGATTTACAGCGCTGCCATTGGCCGGCAGACGTTATTGATTTGGCGCCTCAAAGCAACCTCAACGACGAAGAGTAGACGACGTGCTATGGGTCTGGCAGTTACGCTGGCTGTCCCGAGAGGAACTCATCCTTTCATATACCTGACGATGTGATAAACAATATATACACTTTAGTAGTTTAATGCAACTTTTGCATTATCTGACTGCGAGGCAGAGTGACATGAAGTGTTAACGATGTCCGACGATTCGGGTCCAGCCCATCTCTCGCAGACCGAGTGTCTAAAAGTTCGAAAATGGTGGTGCTTCTTGCTGTCAAGTATCTTCACGTTCCTAGCAGGGATCTTCATAGTTCTGATATGGCGAGTCTTCTCCTTCCTCTGCTGCCGGAACAGGGATCCCAGCGAGTACCAAAAACAGCAGGAAAAGGACAAACTCCTGGCGCAGCAGGGCAAACCCCCCGGCCAGCCCAAGCCCAAGAATCTTATGGAGGGCAACTTCGTCACAGAAGCCAAGGACTGGGCGGGGGAGCTTATATCTGGCCAGACCACAACAGGCAGAATCCTGGTAAGTTATTCTTACTTTCCCCCTCCCACTCCTTAATTTCCATTTGCAGGCTTGGCGACTATATATATATATGTACTGCGCATGGTATATAGCCTATAGTCGCGGATGGCTGAGACCGGGAGTACTGCGAGGGTACTGTATTCCTCTACTGCATTCACTATCACCATTTTACCCACACTATCTACAGTTCTTCGGTGTAGCGGTGCAGTTAACACATTAAATTATTCATAGTGTCTTTTCTTGTTACGGTTTGCTAGGCATGTTGTCATGCCAGAGTGGCATACGACAGCTAGGGTGCCTCAGAAACATATATAATGTGTATATATATATATTTTAGGATAGGCTACCAGCGAGTGGTCTTAGAGGTTGGAGGGAAGTCATACCCAGTCAATCACAGGGTTGCATCACAGGTAGCTGTGCATCCTTTCACTCGTTAGCTGGGGGTGTATAGGCTAATTAGGCTATTAGATAGGGTTTATAACACAGATAACTGGATAGGGTTATATCACAGGCAACCTCCATGGACAGGGTTATATCACAGGCAACCTCCATGGACAGGGTTATATCACAGGCAACCTCCATGGACAGGGTTATATCACAGGCAACCTCCATGGACAGGGTTATATCACAGGCAACCTCCATGGACAGGGTTATATCACAGGTAACCTCCATGGACAGGGTTATATCACAGGTAACCTTCATGGACAGGGTTATATCACAGGCAACCTCCATGGACAGGGTTATATCACAGGTAACCTCCATGGACAGGGTTATATCACAGGTAACCTCATGGACAGGGTTATATCACAGGCAACCTCCATGGACAGGGTTATATCACAGGCAATTGGATCAGGTAGCTGCCGGGTTATTCCACAGGTAAATGGAGGATATTATCCAAAGTTAAACTATAAGGTAGGTTTACACAGTTGTGTCCTGTAGCGCCTTGGCTCACAACCGACTGGCCTCGGGTTCGATTCTCATATTGGACGAGACGTTTGGGCAAGTGTCCATTCTGTTGATTCATTTGTTCGCCTAGCCGTAAATTGGTACCTAGGAGTTAGGCAACTGTTGTGGGTTGCATCCTGGTCAGTCGTTGGCCTAGGCCCTAGAGGATATCTCCATAAACTTAACTAACAGTTAGGCTCTCAATCCCCAACAATGTGAAACCATTGTATCGAGCAGGAATTCGAGTAGCCCAAGTTCTTATCTCCAGACCATAGAGACAGTTTTTAATGAAGTATAAGTGGCTTCTTGAAGTACAACTACATCTTTACCGTTTTTTTCCTTACAAATAACTTAGTTTACAAATGTCCAGACACGGGAGAGTCTGTCAAGATCTTCCCTATACTACACCTTCGTTTCTGAGTGTGATTAAGACTCCAGGGATTGGAGAATGAGTGGATAGAACCCATAAACGCCTCACTGTTCCCATGAGTTGGCAACTCTATGCTCTGTGAAGAGAAAAAACGATACAAGGTTAAGCTTTAGCTACACATAGGGTCTTCCCTCATACTTTAAATCAGGCTCTAGTCTGAAAAAAACTGTGAGTAATTAGAGGGTCTTGTAAATAGACGCAACCGCTGTAATACCTTTCACAAAATCTGTAACATTATCCCTGTGTATATTGGCATTTGTAATTAAACTGTTATTAATGTGTGTTGTTTCTCTCCACATCTTCGTCAGCTGAGCTAGTTCTGTAGCTCATGCCCCCGGGTAACTGGAGGGTCATGCCCCCGGGTAACTGGAGGGTCATGCCCCCGGGTAACTGGAGGGTCATGCCCCCAGTAACTGGAGGGTCATGCCCCCGGGTAACTGGAGGGTCATGCCCCCGGTAACTGGAGGGTCATGCCCCCGGTAACTGGAGGGTCATGCCCCCAGGTAACTGGAGGGTCATGCCCCCGGTAACTGGAGGGTCATGCCCCCGGGTAACTGGAGGGTCATGCCCCCGGGTAACTGGAGGGTCATGCCCCCGGTAACTGGAGGGTCATGCCCCCGGTAACTGGAGGGTCATGCCCCCGGTAACTGGAGGGTCATGCCCCCGGGTAACTGGAGGGTCATGCCCCCGGGAAACTGGAGGGTCATGCCCCCGGTAACTGGAGGGTCATGCCCCCGGGTAACTGGAGGGTCATGCCCCCGGTAACTGGAGGGTCATGCCCCCCAGGTAACTGGAGGGTCATGCCCCCAGGTAACTGGAGGGTCATGCCCCCCAGGTAACTGGAGGGTAATGCCCCCAGGTAACTGGAGGGTCATGCCCCCCAGGTAACTGGAGGGTCATGCCCCTCAGGTAACTGGTGGGTCATGCCCCCAGGTAACTAGAGGGTCATGCCCCCAGGTAACTGGAGGGTCATGCCCCTCAGGTAACTGGTGGGTCATGCCCCCAGGTAACTAGAGGGTCATGCCCCCAGGTAACTGGAGGGTCATGCCCCCAGGTAACTGGAGGGTCATGCCCCCAGGTAACTGGAGGGTCATGCCCCAGGTAACTGGAGGGTCATGCCCCAGGTAACTGGAGGGTCATGCCCCCAGGTAACTGGAGGGTCATGCCCCCAGGTAACTGGTGGGTCATGCCCCCAGGTAACTGGTGGGTCATGCCCCCAGGTAACTGGTGGGTCATGCCCCCAGGTAACTGGTGGGTCATGCCCCCAGGTAACTGGTGGGTCATGCCCCCAAGTAACTGGAAGGTCATGCCCCAGGTAACTGGAAGGTCATGCCCCAAGTAACTGGAGGGTCATGCCCCAGGTAACTGGAGGGTCATGCCCCAAGTAACTGGAGGGTCATGCTCCCAGGTAACTGGAGGGTCATGCTCCCAGGTAACTGGAGGGTCATGCTCCCAGGTAACTGGAGGGTCATGCCCCCAAAGTAACTGGAGGGTCATGCCCCAGGTAAATGGAGGGTCATGCCCCCCCAAGTAACTGGAGGGTCATGCCCCAGGTAACTGGAGGGTCATGCTCCCAGGTAACTGGAGGGTCATGCCCCCAAGTAACTGGAAGGTCATGCCCTAGGTAACTGGAGGGTCATGCCCCCTGGTAACTGGAGGGTCATGCCCCAAGTAACTGGAGGGTCATGCCCCAGTTACCTCAGGACAGAGGGTCTCGGTAGTATAGTCGGATTTGTTCTCGACTCACAATCGAGAATTCCGGGTTCGAATCCCGGACGGACAAATATGGTTGGGAGGAGGAACCTCGATATAAGCCTAACGTGTTTGAATACACACAGGCTGCCTGTCCTCCGACAAAATGAATTATTATTATCTTTAAAAAAATGTAGAAAGTCCTCCGCAGAAAACTATCACCTTCTCAGCCTAGCCTTACATATCTCCATGCTCATTGAGAGAATCTTAAAGGAGGGAATCATCATCCTTCTCATAGTACATAATCAACACGACATGGTTTTGTTAAAAATGAATTTTTCCTTATTAACCTGCTCACATTTTTGGAAATAGTAACCAGCTATCCAGACATAGGACTTGCATTAGATGTACAAATACAGGAACTTCTCTTAAGCTTTGAATAAGGTACCACATGAAAGACTGGCATGGAAATTACAGCACATGAAATAAATAGTATAATAACTAGAATGGATGAAACTATGTTTAAAACAAAGAAAGCAAAGAATCGTCCTAAATGGAAATGAATTTGGAAAAATGTGATGAGTGGAATACCGCAAGGTTCCATCTTTGTGCCAACCCTTTTTGACATCAACATAAATTATATATATGAGAATATTATAGATCACATCATCAAATTTGCAGATGACACAATGATTTATGGTAAAGTAGGAAGGAACAACGATATTCAGGTCTTACAAAGAGATGTACATGAACTCCACTTATGGTTAAATGACCGCGAAAATGCTTTTCATCATTGACAAATATAAGACCTTACATTAGGGCAAAAAAATGCACATCATAACTATCACACAACGGCACTACATATAGCAGACTGACAAAGAAAAGGACCTAGTAGTTAAACGTTGCTGTATGGTATACAAGTGAGAGCTGCAGTATGAAAAAAAAAATAATCAGACTGGGAATAGTCACACGAACTTTTGATTTAAAGGAAAAAAATGTTGGACAACTCCTCGGGAACAATAGGACATCTGACAAGCTGCCAACTTCCTGTCACTGTCGAGGCCACTAGAGAGATAATGGCCCTCAAGTAAATATGCGTATGTATTATTTACACAGTAGTGCAACAGCGTCTGTCTGCTCAACATATAAGAAAATGCAATAGTGATTGTTAGATCTACACATCATTAAGTTCAGAAGTGCCTGTCTGATTGCACATACGTAATTAAGTGCAGCAGTTTGAGCTACGCGTAAGGGTTGAAGGTAAGT